TGGCCCAAGTCCCAAGTTAACCCAAGTGAGTCAGGGCCAGGGCCGGGCCAGTACAAAAAGCGACTGCAACACAAACCGCGCCTGACTTGGCTGCCGATGATTGATGCCAGAAGGTATCCAAAGATGATTGATCAGCAGGGTCTTGGATGTCCTGTCCGGCAGGAAGGTGACAGTCGACTCGATGTGAAACAGTGACACATAACACAGGTGATCCAGGCTCCAGGTAACACAAACAGACAGGACGGGCACACACACAGACACAGACCCAAACACAGACAGAAACAGTCACACAGCAACAAAAGGATTGGCCGATTGGCCTTTAAGTCTTTAGAGACTCACAACTCACAAGTCCCACATGTGCAATGCATTGACTTCAAGGCTTCAAGACACAAAGATTCACACAAGTCAATGACTGACTGTTGGCAGTTCAACTTCAACTTCAAGGCTGTCCTTCTTTTTCGCAGTCGCCGACGCAGTCTTCTTCTGCGGCTGCTCCGAGCGGCGACTGCGCCAGTTCCATTCCTTTTGCTTCTGATCCTCTTTCTCCTTCGGCGCAGCAGGCTGCTCTTTCTCCTTCTGCTCAGCTTCTCCTGCATCCTCTTGCTGCTGATCCTCTTTCTCCTCATGCTGATCCGCGTTCTTCTTCGGCTCAGCTTCTCCCGCACCTTCATGCAGCTGATCCTCTTTCTCCTCAGGCTGCTGATCCGCGTTCTTCTTCGGCTCTGCATCCTCCTGGTGCTGATCCTCTTTCTCCTCAGGCTGCTGATCCGCTTTCTTCTTCGGCTCTGCATCCTCCTGGTGCTGATCCTCTTTCTCCTCAGGCTGCTGATCCTTGTTTGCCTTCGGCTCAGCTTCTCCTGCAGCCTCCTGCTGCTGATCCTCTTTCTCAGCAGGCTGCTGATCCGCGTTCTTCTTCGGCTCTGCATCCTCCTGGTGCTGATCCTCTTTCTCCTCAGGCTGCTGATCCTTGTTTGCCTTCGGCTCAGCTTCTCCTGCAGCCTCCTGCTGCTGATCCTCTTTCTCAGCAGGCTGCTGATCCGCGTTCTTCTTCGGCTCTGCATCCTCTTGCTGCTGATCCTCTTTCTCCTCAGGCTGCTGATCCGCTTTCTTCTTCGGCTCAGCTTCCCCTGCATCCTCTTGCTGCTGATCCTCTTTCTCCTCAGGCTGCTGATCCGCTTTCTTCTTCGGCTCAGCTTCTCCTGCACCTTCATGCAGCTGATCCTCTTTCTCCTCAGGCTGCTGATCCGCTTTCTTCTTCGGCTCAGCCTCACCTGCTGCATCCTCCTGCTGCTGATCCTCTTTCTCAGCAGGCTGCTGATCCTTGTTTGCCTTCAGCTCAGCTTCTCCTGTAGCTTCTTGTTGCTGATCCTCTTTCTCCTCAGGCTGCTGATCCGCGTTCTTCTTCGGCTCTGCATCCTCCTGGTGCTGATCCTCTTTCTCCTCAGGCTGCTGATCCTTGTTCGCCTTCGGGTCAGCTTCTCCAGCCATGCCAGCCAGCTGAGCCAGGTTTGAAGAGTTCTTGTTTGAAGCCTTTGACTTTGACTTTGAAGCCTTCGAAGCCACAGCTGTTTGTCCACTAAAGTCCTGAGAAAGGAGTGCTGCAAAGCTGCTGTGAGCTTATCCAACCCCCTGGGCCCCTGGGCCACAAATTGCTTGATATGGTTTTACTTGGGCCTCGAATGGTCTGAATTCTGGATATATTAGTCTGGCAGCCGGCAGCTGAACTTGAATGGATAATGTATGTTAAGAAACAAGTGATTCTGTCGTGCATGTGGTATGCGCTGCGCTGGTCCTTCGGATAGTCTTGTTCCATCTGCTTTTCCAGGGCATCTTCCAAGTCACTTTGGGACTCGGCTTGTTGCTCCTTCTTGACCTTTCCAGTGGTTTCCTCCTCGTCGGAGTCAGAGTCCAGGCATGGCAGCTGAGTTGGGTCTGCATCATCCAACCCCTCCATGCTCTTTCGATCTTCAGTCCAAAGGATCTTCTGCCAGCCTTTCAAGAGGGAGTTCCTCAGTTAGCAAATGGCCAGTGGTGAAGCAAAGCGAAGCACATCCATCAAACACTTAGTGGGCATGGTATGGCGTCTATACTGCAGTATAGTCAGTATGTATAGTATTGGCTGTTCAGGCTGGACTTTCACACATGTCACCCTACATGTTAAGGAAATGTGACAGTGACATACCTCATGGCTCATGCCTCTCAAGTATAAACTGACAAGCAATCCAAAAGCAAGTCTTGGTTCTGCTGCGAGCCCAATTTAAATGAAAAATTGCAAAGAAAAACAAATTGACTTGGCTGCAACAACAGGTCAACCAGTGTGCACCAAAGTCCAAGATTCATGGGGACAAACTCATCCAGCAAGTCCAAAGTCTCTGTCTCCTCGCCGTGCATGAGCATGGTCGGAAAGCGAAAGCCAAGGCTGTTGGAATTCATTGATTTCTCCACCATGATGTACCCTGCAGGTACAAACCTGATGTTGGCATTGGCATGAAATTGGCATAGAATTGGCATGGGCTGATGATGACTCATGGCCTATGTTACATTGTTGCGGCATTCCTTTCAACAACTACTTTTGGCACAGTAGTTGTTTCATTCAACTATTCAACTCTTGGAAAATGCTTGTCTAACACTGCAGTGGCAATATGCTGTTGCGGTTGCCGACCAGAATCTGATTTGAAAAAATGTTATTCATTGAGGACACAGGAGAGAATATATAGATGAGCGTATCACTGCACTGCACTTCACACATCCAAGAGACAAGATGTCACCAGGGGTCAAGTAGATGTAGCGAAGGGTGCTCATCCGCCCGCGCTCTGCAGTGTCCATCGATGACACCTCGAACAAAGTTTTGGTTTGAACTGGCTGTCTGCACTGAGCTGCACCGTGTTTTCACTGTTGTGGGTGGAGGGTACCGGAGACTGAGACCTGAGAAAATCGAAAAAAATGCAGCCTGGCCAGGGCCGCATCTGAAGCAAATGCAGACTTGTAACTTGTAATTATACAATTAATCCAACTCTGAAAATAACCTCTCTCCAAATAATTGCTTGCAAGGCCAAACCCAAGCTCAGCCAAGACACGGTTTCCGGCGACAAGTTTTGGAACCATGCAGTCAATTGCCTGATTCCATCTTCTGAGCTGCCACCATCACCACCATCATCAGAATTCGCAACGAGCTTCTTGTCCACCTGCTGCTTTACCTGGGCCAAGGCCAAGGTTTGCAATTCATAGGGTCTGGAGTCAGGGTTTGCAATTTAATTTCATATACCGAATGCCGAATACCCAACTGACCCAAATGGCTGGGCAAACACATACACTCACTCAACAAACTTCAAACACAAATTACCAGATCGAACTTTGAAAACAATGTATGCATGCACAATGCACTGCATGCACCAATCGAGCCCTTCCCAAATTCAGCCAAAGTCAAAGTCACGTCGTAGAGATGCCCAAAATGCATCATAGACAGAGCTTTGTTTCCCTCTTGCTGATAGTACATGTGACCAAGGCCGGTAGAGAAGAAGCCTGCACACACATTGGACTGTCCGAACGAAGTCCAGCAAGCACCAAGGATCTTGTTCTTCACGGTGTCCAAGGACTTTGCTTCAGCGTTGGTCCTGAGCTGGGCCATTCCAAGTCCAACATTCAAGTTTACATTGTATTATATTATATTATATTAAATTATATTATATTATATCATTATTATATATACATTGTATATATATATACATAGTGTATATATAGTGTATAGTGTATATATATATATACGTATTTATAGTTGTAAATATGTTTATTTATTTTTATATATAATATTATTTATTTATTAGATATAATATAAAATACATCATAATTTATAACATAGTTATATATTTATATATTTATATATTATATATTATATATTATATATATTATATATTACAATTTTAATATTATATATTATATATTATAATATTAATTATAATATTATATATATTATAAACCAAGCTGGCTTGACCCCGAGTCTAAATGGTTCTAGAAGGTCAGAAGGTCTCTCTGGAAGTCTGGAACATAAAGTTTGACTGGACTGGCCGCTGGCCGCTGGCCCCCAAAAAAAGTTTAGCCAAACTAAACGGCCGGACAGCTGAGAACAACCAACGGTCTGTCTGTTGCGATTCTGTGTAGTGACAATGGCAGACTGGATGCTAATGTGCATCTGAGGCTCAAAAAAGACTGCACTTTTTTGACGAGGGCTTCACGGCACAGCAACCAAGGCTGGTTCTCAGGCTCACCGGTGTCACCGGCCTCACCTGAATCATCTCCACCAGGGCCATCACCGCGTGCCACCAGCTTGGCCTTGAGCAGCAGGTCGAAGCCAAGAAACATGGCCACCTCTTTCTCTTGCGGTACAGTCTTGTTTTTGCGAACTGGTCCGCTTGCTGCTTGCTTCTGCAAGTCTGACTTCGCACTCGCTTGCTGCACCCCAAACGCTTTTGCTGTTTGGGTTATGAAGTCCTTGGTCTCCTCCTGTGGGTCATTCCTGTTCAAGCTCTTTGCAAGAACCTTTTTGACTGAGCCTTTTTTGTTGCGCATCACCGCAGGCTTGTTGCAAACCACCTCGTCCAGGAAGTCATTGAAGGACTCGAAGAACCCCAAGCGGTAAGCAGCCGGGAACATAGAACCTTTGACCAAAACTGGCGGGTCCGTCTCCTCAAAGCTTCCCTTTGCCCTTGTCCTTGAAACCTTGGCTGCCTTGGCTTTGCTTCCATCTGCTGCTGGGTCATCACTGGCTGCACTGTCTTCGTGCTGACCTCGCTTTGACTTCCTTCTTCGTCCTGAAGGTTTCGCAGCCTTTTTGGCCTCAGCGGCCTCAGCAGCTTTTCTCTTCTTGCTTTCAGCAGCCTGCTCTTTCTTCAATCTCTTTTCCTCTCGCTCCTTTTCCCTTGCAGGTAGCTGGCAACTGGTGTCAGAATACCAGAATGCAACAGTAACAGAACAAATGTCAATTATAATGACAGAAGGGACAGAATACGACTTAAGGCTTAAGGCGACTCTTGTTTCGGTCCTCAAATCTCACTGTTTTAAAACACAAACAACACTCCGCGACGCCCGCGCCCACTGTCAGAATAAACCAGGGGCCGTGACTCATTAAACTCATGTGCGCAATGCACAAATGCAATGATACCCAGCTTTTAGTGGGAAACACTGGCATGATGTAGTGCCCATTGAACAGCACAACCACCACAGAGAAGTGCAGGATGTTGCCAATCACAACTGTTGTCACAAGCATGTCATAACACTTAAGTGAGATTTTTGCATTATATGTTGCAAAGAACTCAAGAACGACACAAGAAACAGTTTCACTTTGTCAAGATCTTGCCGAGTGGCTTGTCATCCTGCTTCTTCAGCCGTTCCTCTTCCTTCTTCTGATGGAGCTTCTCATCCCGGATGATCTTTTCCATGGCTTTCGAATTGTTCACCTGAAAAATGTTTGCCACCGTTTCAGTCACAGGCCCCCTACTGATGGACATCTACACTACACACAACCAAAATCTAGACAGTCTAGTCTAGCCTAGCCTGGCCACTGGCCTCTGGGTTCAATATTCTGTAAGCATGGTCTGGCATGGTCTGATAGGAAGTTTGAAGGCATATCAATCACTTCAAGAACTGGCAAGGAGCCAAGGAACCCATTGTTGGCAAGCAGACTGGGCAGCTGTTGCCAGACTTTTGAGGATACGCAGTGAGAAGGTGGCAGAGTCGACATGAGCTTGTAGCTGCTCGAGGCTGGTGCTAAGTGGCCACATGACCTTGCATCATGCAAAAACTGCCAAAAAATGCCAAACATATGAAATAACTGACTCAAACATCCTGACAAGGATAGGACTAGTGACTAGCAGCACAGTTTTCTGCCTTCACCTCAAGCCTTGCGCCCACAAACCCAAGGCCCCTGCAGCTCTCACAAAGTCAACATAGCCATAGGTGAAGCACGAGTCAATTTGATCGCCAATTTCACCTGTGAGGAACCCATCCTGAGTCAGCATCTCCTGATACTCCTTGTTGCGAAGCTTCCAATCAGCAAGAGAAAGTTGCTTTGACCTTGATTCGATCAACTGCAGACTGCTGCATGTCAGAGTTTGCATTCATGCTCGAGGCTCTATGCAGGAAACAAATGTGATTGCAGATGCAGAGTCATAAACGGTTTCAGCAGGAGTTTCATTGCAACAACTGCCACCAAGCCTGCTGCATGACCGATCCCACAGTCACAAACCTTTCTGTCCAAAGTCCAAACCAAACAATGCAAGCAAGAGGCGCATCATGCTTATCATCTGTGTCTGCAGGTGGCAGAGCCGCTGTGACTAGGTCCAGGCGCGCCAGAATGAACTTCTCAGCATCGGTTCTTCTGTTCACAAGGCTTGGGGCAGGCAAAGTTGCTACAGTCTCCTTCACGATTTTGTGCGCCTTCTTCAAAGCCATATACGTAGCAACGGTTTCCTTCAACAGAGCCGCTGAGCCGGGGCAGCAAGCCGGGTTACAAAATGAAATTGAACTTGGGACCACAATGTCAAGAAGCAGGGCCCGGCCCGGGCCCGGGCCATCAATAAAATTTGTGAAGCTATAGCAGCTATGGCTATCTATGACAATGGCTAATTATAACCATGAAAGCTACAAGGAGGTGTTGCAAACCAAGTCTGACAGCTCAAAAGTTGAGACTCCAACATTTTAAAGGAACAAACATGCAAGTCTGACAGTGTGGTAACTGTGTAATAGTAACTAGTAACAGTAACTGTATACAGTATGCCTGTAAGAAATAGCAGCTTAGGCAGGCGTAGTTAGTACTTAGTACGTACGTAGTTGCCAAAAATTTATGTTGATTTGCAGAGCTGGTGGACCAGTGGAGTGGAGCAACTAACCAAACACAATGACCGCCGCCGCCGCCACCCCAACAAATCCACAAAGGTCCGGTCCTTGACCGTGTTCTTTTTGAACTTCGCCGCTTCGATAGCCATGCTTGTAGTTGGCATTGTTTCAGGAAGAGGTCTTTGGGCGGCGGCAGTGGCAGATGATCCCCTGCCCTTTCGGTTGCTGATGCCAACAGCAGGCTGCTGCGGCTGCAGCTGCGGCTGAAGCCGAGGATGGGGGTCACTGGGACTCGGACGGGTAAACAAATTGTCATCGTCCTCGCCCCAGGTTCCCATCTTTTCCTTGAGCTGTTGCATTTGTTTCTCCGTGGGTACTTTTTGCTCGATCTGCGCCATCAAAGAGCTCTGCTGGTCGGCGTACCCGATTTCTTCTTTCGTTTCAGTGACCGGCACCCACAGGATCCACACCTTGGCTGTCCCAGCACAACCATTGAAATGTCACATTCGATCATTGTGAGAATTAGAGACCATTAAAGAATTCAATCGTAGTCGTTGAGTTAGTTGAGTTCGACATAATAGCACAGTACAACACAGTGGCATAAGCTTACAGAAAAAAAACACTTGAATTGGATGACCTCGCATGAGCACACTGGCGCAATACGAAAAAAAAACTGGTTGGACACGTTGGACAGTTGGACAGTGGGACAGTTGGACCATGGAGAAGAGTGAATGGCAATGAATCGATGATGTGATGAAGCTGATCTGATCGGACTGATCGATGTTGTTCTTTTGCAGCAGCCAAATTGCAAGTCGAACAATCGAACTACTGGTCCATGGGCCGTGGCCGTGGGCCCTATTTTGCCAAGCAACTTTGCCAGCATCTTGGCCATCAAGATCATTGGAATCCCTCTGTTCCTTCTCCAACCGGTTGAAGTCCAATTGCCACTTGCGCTCTGCCGCTTCTGGCGAAAGACCTGATTCTAAAGAAAGAGCTGGGCCGGCCAGGCCACTTGAAACTTGAAACTTGAACCGGAACCGGAACCGTTTCAAAAATCAAATGAACACTTAACTTAACTACTTAAAGCTTGATAACTTGGCTGCTCAACTGCCAGAAACCTAGACAGCCGTCTACCATGCGCCAATGCTTGGCATATTCCCTATGGACATGGCACACATTGCAGCTGATTGCAGCTTGGAGGCGCTTGTAGACTGGTGCTTCAACCGTGTAGAACTTGATGTACTCTTCGTGGCACATAGGTCTTCGGCCCTGGGTACAGTGCAGCGCAGTGCATTAAAATCACACAATGCGACTCGACGCAATGCAACCCCAGCGGCGCCAATGAAGTTCCAAATCCGATCCCCACATACCACAATGTCACATACTACACTCTCAATCTAATCCCACTCCCACACATGATAATTTCTTGCCGAAATACTTGTCGGGACTCGGAGCGGTTGCCAGTTGACAAAGTTTTTCTCAAGGCTCCGAAATCATACTGAGTCCGTGCCACACCACGCTTTCTAGGCGCTGGGCTCCTGAGCAGAACTTGCAATCCCTGCCAATCCCTAGGCCGCCTATGAGGCCCTATAGGAATCTTGGAAAGAACATGAACATACAAAATAATTCTTTCAAAGACCACAAACTCATAAACCAAGTACCAAGTAAGACGAAGCTGTTCAACTGTTCATGTCAATGTTAGCAGACCATGGCAGTTGCAATGGACATGAATCCAATGAATCAACACTAATACTAGTGACACTGACACTAGTCAACAATGTCAACAGTCAACATCAGTATCTGCGATGATGAGCACCAACCTGCCACCTGCTGCTGCCAAGACACTTCTGACTGAAGTCCTTCAACTGTTCCATGAATGCGCCAGGGTCCTTCAACTCCATGTCTTCTAAATATTCACGTAGACCCATCTTCACGCCCATCACTTCTACTGGTGCACCTTTCGATGCTTGCAACAGCAAAGCGTCCCTGTTGCTGTTGTGCTCCTTGCACAGGTTCAAGGTGCGTTTGGCAACGTACACAGACTTCTCGGTGCAGTCAGCCATTGCACATGGCTTGGCCAAGCTCATTGCACCAGCTCCTGGAGGAGGCGCAGGCGGAGGCTGCTTGGACACCTCTGAAGCATCCTCACCGATCATGGCTGCCATCGGGCAGCGGGCCCCGTCCAAAAAAAAAAGAGTCGTTTGAGTCTGAGACTGAGACGTCTGAAGTTTGAAGTCTGAAGTTGTCTGTCTGACTGTTGTCTGTTGTTGAACTGACTGCATTGTCTGACATTGTCTGCATAGCCGCTTAGCCTGTACTTGTCTGCCCTGCCAACCTGCATGCAGTCTCAGTCTTTGGGGCCAAAATTGGCAGAATATATTCTGCGATTACTACTGCAATGGATCACGGTTCCACCACCGAAGCATGATGAAAAGTGAGTGACAAGTCCAAAAGCTTGCATACGACTGCTGCTCATGGGCTCGCTAGGCATGAGCAACGTTGACACCAAAAAAACAACTAAAAGTTAAAAGTGGAAATCCACAGATTAATTCCACAGTAAATCCACAGATTACTTTTCTACATGTGAGATAGTGTTCAATCTTTGCACTGGGCTGCTGGACGGCGCACTGTGTCATCTTTGGGCGGCACCAGGAGGAGAGGCAGCTGCAAGGACCAATGCCTCCAGCCCAGCCGTAGGTTGGAATGTGAACAAGATAACAATAATGCCAGTGAAAATATTGTTCAAGTTCAAGCACATGGACTCCCATGTTCCCCGGCCGCCCGGCCATAGCTTTTTTTTAGCTCGGCTCGGCTCAATGGTTCAAAATTTGGAACGCTCTTGCTCTTGGCTCTTGCCAGGGGCATGACATGACTTAGCTTTTCAAAATGGAATTCAAACTGTGAACTGTGATGAATGTTTAAAAGCCAGGACCAGGACTTGATTAAAAACTGACAATTGACAGAATCCAGTCAACACAGAGAACTTCACAGCCTTTTGCAAAGACAGTGCAGCTGATGACCAATGAGCAATCTCGAATGGACAGATGACAGAAGAACATCCACAAATTTGGGAAGGTCCCATGGCTTACCAACTGTTTGTACAACAATGATACATGGTAAATTTGGGGGGTATCGCTTGCAGGAAACTGCTACATTATATAATATATACAATAACAATATTATATTATTATATATATATATATATAATTCACAGAAATCAACCTCTAATTTGGGCCCGGTAATGTGGATTATAGCTAATTTGGGAAGGTCCCATCACATCGCTTACCGCTTACCGTGTGTTGTTTCCAAAAAACCAATGTCCGTCCAGAGTCCAATTCAATACATTTTTATCGTATTGCCATTGCCAGGTATTGTTGGGGTTGTTGCGGTGCTCAAATGAAGAAGTCCAGTCATGCCGGGCCGCGCCTAGTCAAAACTAAAAGCTAATGAAGGATCTTCAACCCCCCTCAAGGCCCAAGGCTCAAGGTGATTCATGACTCAGTTGCTTCTTCAGGTTGGTGAAGGTGCACCGAAAACAAAAGAGCGCACCACAAACTTCCTACCACTGCTCCATGCATAGCCTTGGCAAGCGAAACTTCCAAAACTCAACACAATAATGATCAATAATGCATAATGCATCAGCAACAACAGCACAACCTTTCCGTGCCATCCAGATCCACTGTACTGCCACTGCCAATAACATGGGTCATTAAATGTCCCCATTGAACATCACCCAACCATTAGGTATATGGTCTATAATGGCTACTATAATGTGATGTCCAATATTCCCAAAATGGGACAGTTACCAACCCCTGAATAATGTCTCTGTAGTTGTCTAAGCCGCTTGGTTCTGGAATCATGTCACTGTCCAGTGTCCGCGTCCACGTCCATAATTATTTTAAGCCCGGGGGGCCCGGGGCCCAAGCTAGCAAAATAGACTTGAAAAAAAGTCATGAAAGTACCAACATAAACGACCCGGTCCCGACATGACCCAAAACCGATGTGTTCATCAGTGCCAGGTGCCCAGATGAGATGAACACGCCACAACATAAGCTCAACATAGGCTGCAACATGTTAATTTTCTTGGGCCCCTTGTTTTTCATTGGAAGAAGTGCTTTCAATATGGTTGTCAAGTTGTGAAGCCCGGATTCAAAGAAGTGCATTTGTGATGGCCCCACGGCCCCACCAGATTAAAAGCACTTATTATGCGCAATCATCGCACTATGTGTGTGTGTGCTTGTGTGTCACCCACAGGGTTAAACAACAGGTCACCCAAGGCCCAAGCTACTTGTGGCGGTGGCCGCACTACTTAAAAGCAACGCGGGCGCGCGGCGCGCATGAATGAAACTTGGACTCATCACTCATCTCTCCTTCCTTCAGATGGACCGGCAAACATGCAAGGTAGAATGGCTCTGGTCTTGGCATTGCCTTCTTCTCATGTTTCAGCTTTTCATATTGCCAGTGAACTGACTCAGAGTCCCAACATGGCCCCCAAGAGCACAACATGGTCCGGTCCGGTCCAACATAGGCTCCAATTGCATGTATTGTGCTCACTATGTCACTAGTCAGTATATAATTGGTTTTTCTTGCCCATGGGCCGTAGAACTCACAATACTCACGACTCTGTCGGTTTTCTGGCATTGCAGGAGGAACCATAAAGTTTTGCTTGTATGGGAGGAGCATAAATCATAAATCCAATATATGTCCAAAATCGGCCCAACATAGCTATGCTACTACAACATCTATATTATTAGGCTCCACATGTTGGCCTAATATGGGGGCAAGCAAAGGCTTAATGTCGAATGTCGGCTTAACCAGAGAGTCAGAGAGTGCACATGGTTCAATATCAACTGATATATGTGTTTTGTTTCCAATTGTTTTTTGAAAAGCAATCTGGACTGGAAAGTTGATTCCAAAGTACACCGCAGGACCGCAGACTGCAACAATCTGCAAACACTTCTGGCGCTGGCAATGCGATGCAATCAGGCAACGTTGCCGGCCAAAGACCGCATAGCTCCAGCTCCGAGGTCACAGTTGATGTGAGGGAAGGCATGCTTGCCGCTGCATTGCTGAAACATAGGTACGGCCATCAGTGTCAAATGCTCCTCAGGCAGGAAGTATCGCTCCTTTGCAAGGGCAGCTTCCTTGTCAGCATCATTGTCTGTGGCTGGATTGTGCATCACCCATAACTTCCCGTTTCTGAGCAAAGTAGGGCAAAATACCCCACAAACAGGCATTTTGGCGGGGTTTTGCAGCAAATTGCAAACTGCCGCCCTCTCCCCGGCAGCGAATGCATCAGTGATCTTGGGAAGGGAACGGTATTGTTTCAGCCAACAGGCTTGCGCTCCTCCCAAAAACACACCATCACAAAATTGAAAAATTGGCTTCGAATGGTGGTGAATGGGGTCCAAACTTCAAACAGTTGCCAAAAAGGGGTTCAATTCAGTTTTTAGTAATAGCTCAGTGACAGCTCCAGCGAGTGACATCGGCATTCAGCATTGCATGCCATGGAATTGAACGAAACGAAATGACATTTGACATTTGTGACATTGAATTGAAGATTGAATGTGTAAATCACGTATCAGCACTCAAATTTGGCTAGCATTCTAGCATGTCATGGTGGCCATGGCAGCTCCTTGCAAGCACTCCGCAAAAGAAGAGGATGGAGGCAAGCACGCCTTCTTGCATAAGAGCGCACGCTCCTGCTCCACATGCTCCTTCCACCAACAAATATGAACAATTTTTTCTTGGCCGCTGCTCAGGAAACAACTCAATGATAAAAGAACGCCACAAATTGTCAATGGTGTTTCATGACACAAATGCCTGGAACCTGTTTGATCACACAAATGCCTGGAAACCAATGGCCCTGCACTGCACTGACTGCATTTTTGGCCGATTCCACATGGACTGTCTGCCATGGGCCATGGGCCATTGGCTTTCAATGTCTCAGTCTCTGTTTCTGTTTCCATCTCTCTCCTGTGGGGAGATCATGAACTGCTCGATACTCAAAACCGGCTTCCTGAAGAGAAAATTGAGACAGTTGACTTTGTGTGGAAGAGCACCTGTAATCTGTCGAACTCCGACCTAAGGCGGGCCCTTCTCGCCTCTCCCCCCGGCTAAGTTGCAACTTGGGTGGCAGCCCGTTGGTAGGAATGGGTTGCAAAAACAAAGCTATCGAGTTATTGAGTGGCATAGTGACAGGTACATTACATTACATATTAGTTTCATGTCTTCCCACATGTTTGCTCAATGTATGGCAAACTTGGGTTGCATAGCTTGGAGAAAATTACATGGTCCATGGTCCATGGCATCATCCTCGCACATCTCGTGCCCTTACACATATCATTATGTTGAATCAATCTGTTGAACATGTTGAATGTTGCCGAAGTTTTGGGGTGACACATGTCAAAGCAAAGTGGCTGTGTAGCAATGAGAACGACTAGCAGGCCATCCAAACTGAGCTGGGCTCAAGTCCAATGGCTCCTCCCCCATAGTAGGCCAAGCCCAATGATAATGAGGAAGATATTGAGGAAACATCGGTCGCATAAAGAGCACTGTACATTCATGGAGAAGAATGTCCTGATGGCCGGCCAATGCAATCATGACATGCAATCATTGACTGTTCACTGTTCACTGTCACTGAACATTCTACATCAAATCAGGCAGGTCAGTTTACCAGCAAACCTCCACCTCCAAACCACCAAATGATCAAATCCCCGAGCCCCAGGCCAGCTGAACTCCATTCAAGCCAAGTAACTTCGGCTGCCCAAAAACGCTCGGCGAACCAAACGGCCAAGGTTTCGCCGGATTCTCCAAAATGTCCCTTCTGGCTACCGAACGTGCTGATGTCCTTGCATGTAGATCCGGCCACTGCCAAACGCAAAAGGCCGTCATTGCCTGACCTGGCCAACTGCCTGGCTCTTCCTTGGCTTTCGGATACAATGCAAAATCGAACAAGGAACTGTGTGCACACCTTGCTTATACTGAGACTGATACTTACATTACAACCATTTGTCATTTTACCTCGTATCCTTTGACTCACGACTCAGGACTGCTGCTGATA